TTTTTACCGTACATTTCAATTTTTAATATAAGTTTTCTATGATGAAGTTTTTTATGGTGAAATGCTTTAGAAAAGTCAGTAATAAGAATATCAATAGGATAATCTTGATCTACAGCAAGAATTGCAATATCTTGGCTTTCAAGTAAATTTGTAAAACAAGATTTACCGGGTAAAAAACCATGATGATTCTTGTTTATCAAACAAATTTTGCATATAACTGACGTGAGCGAAATAGGCCTATAGTTGGAAAAATCAAGTTTGTTGCGATTTTTAAAAATTGAAACTATGTTTGAGTCTTTTCATGCTTTTGGTACTACTTCCGATTTAAGTGATAGCTAAAAAATATGTTCAATAGGAGTACTCAGACTTAAAGAACTGGTACTCAATAAATACGAATGGACTCAATCGATCCCACAGGAATTGCATTTATCCAATGAATTTAACTGTACAAGAATTTCATTCAAACTGATTATTTTGTTTATATCATTTTCACAGTAGACAGTAGCAGGATCAAAACTTAGTAAGACTATGTTATCGTCTTCAGTAAATACAGATTGAAAATATGTGTTTAACAAATTTGTAATATCTAAAAGGTTATCACTCACATTTTCATCTGGAAACCTTAAAGTGTGGATTCCTTCTTTATACCTTTGTTTGCTGTTCACGTGTGCATAAAATCTCTGAGGATCCAATTTAGAACTTTTAGCAATATCAAGTTCAAACTGTTTCAAAGCTAATTTAATAGAATATCGAGTCTTAGTTTGAACAAGTTTATATTTGGCTCATAATTCGAGATTATTTCTGCCTAATGCAATAAACTTAGACCATAATTGTTTTTTATTCATTAATTAGTTTCTTCATATCAGATGTAATCCCCCAGCAAACATGACAGCGTTGAATCAACGTTGAAAACCGGTCGCAAAATAAGTTGCAGAAACGTTGACAAAGTAATCGATTTTGCAAAGATTTGTAACGTTGTTAAAAAGACGTTGATTAAACATTGTAGCGTAACGTTGAAAAAACGTTACTAAAAGACGTTACAAAAATGTCGCAACTAAACGTTGAAAAAGCGTTACTTAAAAAACGTTGCATAAGCGTTGCAACTTTGCGTTGAAAAAACGTTATTTAAAAAGCGTTACTTTAACGTTGTTAAAGCAGTCGATTTTGCAAGGATATGTAACGTTATCAGTAAAACGTCGATTTAACGTGACTCAAAGACGTCGAGTAAAGGTTGAAGTTTAACGCTGAATCAACGCTTAAATGCGCTGGAGAAAATACCGCAAAATATTATCAAACATAAATAAACGTCGCTATAATATATATTGAAATGGCAAATAAAACTAAATTCTATGTTGAGCTCTGCACTTGCAATATTTCCACAATCGATTTTTAATACAAAAGTAATATACAATGATAAATATAAAAATATACAATTTATATAAAATATACAATTTATAGATATATATATATATATATATATATATATATATATATATATATATATATATATATATATATATATATATATATAAACATCTACTATAGCATATTTATATGCGCAATTGCTTACTTTTTTTGCTAGCCTAAATTAAGTGAGCATTTTTAGAAAAGGATGAGGGAAAATGAAGAATAATGAATGAAAATGTTGCTGAACCATACCAAACCCTCAGTCGATGTAGCAGCACTCCACGGCGAGTCAGGCTATTTGTCAGTCGATGTATGTACTGAAGCCCCCGGCAGCAGGCTATTTGACATTAGGTGAGTATGAAATCGTCATGCTTACCTAACTCAGCAGTATAAGATGCTGAATTGACTAGGTACCTATTTTGAATATTGAAAAGTATTAAAAAAATTAATTTATAAAGATAAAAGGCCTAGATAGTTAAAATAACTTCCAAGATAGTTATTACAAGAAAAAACATTACTTACATTAATCTTTGTAAAACTTCAAGATTTATCATTGACTTAATATATTTTCTTTAACTTTGTTTTGGGAAAAGCAAAATTTTGAATCACAGACTTACAAATTTTGGAGGAGCTGAATGAATTAAAGAAGTTGCTACTAACAAAAATTCATTAGGCATATTACATAAAATAAATTATATTACATAAACCATTACATAAAATAAACTATAGTTAAAACCGTTGTTTTATTTTTTTGAAACTAAAGGCAAAAATAAAATTGAACTTTAGAGTTAAATACATTTATTCAAATAAAATTTATTTAATTTAAAACAAAATTAGATACAAAAACTACAAACACATCAATTCTAGATTCCTAAATGCATATTTAAATAAATGCAATATGAGTTTTTGAAATACAAAACAAAAATATAACATAATATTACCAAATACAAACATATAATTGACTAAAACATATATATCAACTGATACTTAATGTAGTTGACGCTCCTAAAAAAAAATCTTAATTAACAAGTAAATAAAATTTATGGATAAAGTAAAAAATATTCTTACAAGTGTTATTTTTGTAGCATTAGCATTTTTTATTCATTTCTTTTTTTAATTTCTCTGTTCAACTTTAAATTGTATCTAATTAATGTTTCACACTATCTATTTCTAAATTTTAACTAATACTAAATTTCCTTTAGAATAAAGGAAATTTTCTACCCTCCTGTCTCTTATATAACTGTTACGACTGGTTTAGTTTTTTTAATTAGACTTATTTTTTAGTCAAAACTTTTGAACTTCACTTATAACTAATTAAGTAATTGGTTATTAGCAATGTTCCAAAACTTGATATTGTAATATTTCAAAAAGTTTATTAACTAATGTACTGGCCCAATTGTTTCGAATAGAACAATCTAAAAGTTGTTAATTAAATTATATTGATATTATATTGAATTATCAGCATAAACTCTCTGTATTATTAATAGGTTTTGCTTTTGAAAAATATGACTATGCATGAGATTCTTCAATGTCTAAGTCTTTCAAACAATCAGAACTTGGTTCTTGATGAAGTATATATATATATATATATATATATATATATATATATATATATATATATATATATATATATATATATATATATATATATATATATATATATATACTTCAGGGGTTCTTCAAGGTTCAATCCTTGGCCTTATACTCTTTTTAATTTACATTAACATCATCCAGATATTATCACATCTAAGGTGGCATTGTTCGCTGACGACACTACTATTTGTTCTTGTCATGATAAGAAGTCTACACTCTCTGATTGCTTGGAGGGGGTATCTGAGCTTGAAAAGGATCTCACCTCGGCTACAGCATGGGGCTCACAATGGCTGGTGAACTTTATTTCGGATATAACTCAATTTTTTTCGGCCAATTGTTATCGCAATAATTTAGATCTTCCTATATTTATGAATGGTAATGTACTAGATGAGTCATCTACCCTTCATCTTGTAGGATTAACTTTTACTTCTGATCCTTCTTTTAAACCGTATATCAAATTTATTGCAAAATTAGCAACTGCTAAGGTTGCATCTCTTTATCGAGATTGACACTTCCTTACTTAGGATTCTATTCTCTATCTCTATAAATCTCAAATCCGTCTCTGTATGAAATACTGTTGCCATATCTGGGGCAGATCTTCTATTGATGCCCTTTCTCTATTAGACAAGGTGCAAATACGCATTGTAAACATAGTTGGACCTGCTTGTGCAGCCAATTCTCCAACCATTGTCACATCGTCGTGATGTTGCTTCTTTTTCTCTTTTCTACAAATACTAATAATGGGCACTGCTCTAAAGCTAGTTTTTTTTTTCGAACATTAGTTTTTTGGAATTTGCTTCCTTCATCTTGCATCCCTGATTCATATAATTTGCAATCTTTTAAGTCATCTATCAATCGTTATCTTGCTCTACGAACTTAATCTTTTCTCTTCATTATGTATATAGTTACAGATCAAAATTTTGATCTGTAATTATATACATAATGCTCACTTTACAAATAAACATAATTTACACAAAATTTTTGAATTGAATAAAACACTAATGAATTGCTCCTATGCCCAATATAAATTACACTAAATTGTCCCATATCAATTACACTAGTGTTATCTTTTGAATTTAGAAATAGAATTTATTAAATGTTGGTGGCTCATCATGCAGTGCATTTGAGAAGGGCATGCTTTCAAAGTAAGTTTAATATTACTATAAAAAGAGCATTTTTAATACCGCAATTATATTGCATACTTGATATACATAAATATATACGCTGGTCACAACAATCCAGTCAAAAATTTCTTTAAAAAAATAAATTTAGTGTTGAGAAATTCGTAATTTTTGATGTTTGATGTTATGTTTATAAAATAATAATTATATATGTGTGTGTGTGTATGTGTGTGTGTTATTTATTTATTTCTTTCCCCTTTATTTTTACATACTTATCTTAACAATATCTTTTTAAGGTTAAGACTGCTTCCCTGATTCCTACAGCAAAAAAAAACTTTAAAATGCTGGTGGCAATATTTTAAAGAATGCATCTGATCGAAAAGAAGGTGAATGACGTCAGCTGTTCGAAAATTCGATTCTCGGAAATTAACAAGTGGAAGAAGTTTACAAAGTCGTAATTTATAAAACTCAGCACAATTATATTATTAAAAAATTTAAACGATTTATTATTTTTTTTTTATTCTCAAGAAGTTCTGTGAAAATATAAGTTTGAACCTTACGTTTAAGTAAAGCCATGTTAGAACACGTATTTTAGACGTCGAGATAAGAACGTCTAAATTAGGTTTTTTAAAGACGTCATTCGGCGTTTCCATTTAGCACTAGTTCTGAACGTCCTAAATTCACGTCTTTTAGACGTCTCAAAACACGTCTTTACTCCGTCCTAAAAAGACGTCTTAATTACGTCTTAAAAAAACGTCATCTGGCGTTGCCATTTAGAACCAGTTCTGGACGTCCTAAAAAGACGTCCTTTCGACGTCATATGAACGTTGCCGTGCCCGCCGTATCATATATCCTAAAATGTCATTAAAAACTCTAAAATTTCGAAATCTGCTTTCTACAAACATTTATTGACGAATATTTCAGAATTGATTTTACAGCTTCCTATATCCCTGCTTCATCTGGGTATCTTTTTGAGACACTCTCTAAAATATAAAATTCAAACTTCTTGCATGAACGGTATTAGTAAAAATCTGCATACATAAAAAGTTTAAACAAAACATATTACCAACTAAAACACAATACAATTTTGTCTTTGAAAAAGCCAACTTTTGTTTAGATTTTTTTGTGAAATCGGTTTGCCCCTTCATGTTTAACAAACAGCGCAACTCAATTGTTAACAGCCTAAAAAGTTGGTCATTATTTGAATAAATATTATGCAGTGTTGTACAATGCAACATTTATGCTACAGGAAGTAAAGCATATAATGATATGCTTAAAAAAGGGTATAATCATATTTAATATAATAAATATATTTTGCAAACACTTTTTTAATAATCCATTAACAGTTTATTGACGTACCGCTCAATAACACGTTTTACATTATCTTTTAAGTTGACTCCACCAATTTTCGCTATCTGCGATACCTGCTTTCGAAAAAATCTTAAATCAATGTTTTAATTATTATATAACTAAAGGCAATCTATAATAAAATCCTTGAAACTTTTAAACAAACTAAAAAACATCAAAAGCTGAAAAAACAAAAAGTAGTTACGTATAGAATGAGAAATTTAATAAAATAAAATTATATTGTTTAATCAACTTCTCAGTTAACAATATAAATGTATTTACCATCGCAACATAAAGAAAAAAATCAAACTAGCAATAGCAACAGGGTAACTTACCCATTTAGAAAAAATGACACTGTCATTTAACGTAGTATCTAGCTCAATAAGTTGTTCTATTGAACTCAATGCATTTATTTGCAGATCTTCGGATACAACGGAAGAAATATTTTGAAGATCCTTTACCATATTTTTAATTTCTAACAGTTGTTTAAAAACCTTTTTCAGAAATTCAAAAAAACAAAGCAACTTATTAAGCATGTATGATAAAAAAACACTTATTTCAGACCTCTCTGCTAACACATCTTTCTGTGCAGTTGTGACAATTTTCACCTTGCTGCATACACATTTTTCTTAACAAAAATTGAATAAAACACAACTTAAAAGATAATGTAAAACGTGTTATTGACGTACCGCTCAATAACACGTTTTACATTATCTTTTAAGTTGACTCCACCAATTTTCGCTATCTGCGATACCTGCTTTCAAAAAAATCTTAAATCAATGTTTTAATTATTATATAACTAAAGGCAATCTATAATAAAATCCTTGAAACTTTTAAACAAACTAAAAAACATCAAAAGCTGAAAAAACAAAAAGTAGTTACGTATAGAATGAGAAATTTAATAAAATAAAATTATATTGTTTAATCAACTTCTCAGTTAACAATATAAATGTATTTACCATCGCAACATAAAGAAAAAAATCAAACTAGCAATAGCAACAGGGTAACTTACCCATTTTGAAAAAATGACACTGTCATTTAACGTAGTATCTAGCTCAATAAGTTGTTCTATTGAACTCAATGCATTTATTTGCAGATCTTCGGATACAACGGAAGAAATATTTTGAAGATCCTTTACCATATTTTTAATTTCTAACAGTTGTTTAAAAACCTTTTTCAGAAATTCTAAAAAACAAAGCAACTTATTAAGCATGTATGATAAAAAAACACTTATTTCAGACCTCTCTGCTAACACATCTTTCTGTGCAGTTGTGACAATTTTCACCTTGCTGCATACACATTTTTCTTAACAAAAATTGATACCACCTGTATAATTTTAAAACATTTAGAATAAACAATATCAAAAATAATAGTTAACACATAAATATATGTATATATATATATATATATATATATATATATATATATATATATATATATATATATATATATATATATATATATATATATATATATATATATATATATATATATATATATATATATATATATATATATATATATATATATATATATATATATATATATATATATATATATATATATATATATATGTATATATATGTATACATATATATATATGTATATATATATATATATATATATATATATATATATATATATATATATATATATATATATATATATATATGTATATATATGATGTGAGAGGTGAGGGCTTCAGTAAATACATCAACTGAATTAGGGAGAACTCACAAGGGAGTTGATAACACATAAGCAAAGGTTTTGGCTTTAGGCAGGGATCAATATTTTTCATCATTATTTGTTTGCCTTCTTTTATCAAAGAATTAAAGGTCACTTTTTGTGACCTAATATAGCATTTTTTAATATATATATATATATATATATATATATATATATATATATATATATATATATATATATATATATATATATATATATATATATATATATATATATATATATATATATATATATATATATATATGAAATTTATTTTAAATAAAAGAAATTTTTAATACATGGCCTTATATTGTTTATTGTTATTAAAATGCATAACTTAATTCAATTTATTGCATAAAGATAACTTTTTTGTTGTTATTTTTTTCATCAAATTTTGTTAGATTTTCATTAAATCAAATAAAAAGATGTTTTTGACATTTTACAGGAGTTACAAAATTACAGCGAATAAACCTTTTTATTATAATATCATAAATACTGAAATGCTATAATAATTTTGAGGAATAAATTTACAAGTATTTTTTTCAAAAAATAATAATATCATGCAATTATAAAATATTATAAGGATTGTAAAAAAAAATCATATATAAAATTTAGGCTTATTTTAAAGATAATGTATTTATCTTTTTGTTAAGGTCAAAAAAAAACATTTTTTTTCAAAGTACTAAATTATAACTTTAATTACTTTGTTTAGCCAATGTATTTTTATTTAAAGTTTTAACAAAAAATGTTAAAACCTTAAAATAAGCCTAAATTTTATAAATCATAGTTTCAAACTAAAATGATATATAATGACGATGATACAAATTTATTTTTAGAACATTATATGTATTCAATTTAAGAACAGACTGTTTAAAAAAACATAGATGGAGACAGTGGTTTAAGATCTTAAGAAAAATGCATTGTTTTGTGTTTAAAAAAACGAACCCTGTTTTAGAAAAGAATTCATAAAAAAGATAATCTGCATACTTGCTGTCTTTAAAACCCCTGCTCTTTTATTTTATACTTTTGGGTGATTCTCTCTTCCCCCATACCTGCATATGGACTAACTTAAAATATAAATTAAAACTTATATAATAACTTATATAATAACTTAAAACATAAATTAAAACTATATAAATTAAAATTATAAAAATAGTACTTACTTTCAGTACTTAAAGGAAACAGATAAGACGCAGTAATTGACTGTTTAGAAGTTCTGGCCAAAAAAGCTAGAGAAGATGAATTTGATGAATCCAATTTTTTTTGTAAACATAATTCAGAATTTTTAAAATTGTTTATGTTTTTAAGATGAAAAGGTAATTTAGGTGATTTTGAATTATTAATTTCAAAGTTGACTATCTCTGATTGAACAATCGGGGAGCGTGAATGATCTCTTGTTGAATTTGTTACATCATGATAAACTAGTGATCTTAAACAATTTTCTTGAGTGTTTAATATATTTGCTTTGAAATAAAACATAAATACATAATTATTTTTCAAAATACATACAGTTCCTTTTTTTTTATTCTTTACGATTTAAAAAACAAAAAAAAGTCGAATCGGAAGAGAAACACAATTATTCACAAACATAATTACTCACATTCTTCTTCAGAGTCCTCTGTAGTTGTGAAATTAAACCCTTTGCATACTTCTTTATCTGTTAGTAGTTATTTAGTAAAACAAATATAAACAATAATGCAAAATCTAAAATGTAAAATAAGTGTAAAGAGATTATAATATATGTTTAGGCAATAATAATAAAAAAAAACATATTCAAAAAATTACTTATCCAAAATCAGAAAGAAAACGGTTTATTTGATATTGTACTTCACCACTAATATAAAACTATAATAGTTTTTTTATTCATATAAAAAAATTAAAATAGCAATGAATACAGTAAAACTTAATGACCTACATTTACTTTAATTTTTTTTAACTGTAAGCTTGTTTCAGGAGTCAATTAGAAACTTGTTATAGGCAGCTCTCATTAGGTGAACACCAGTTGGCTAAAATAACCAATCATCTTTTACCCAACAAGATGGAACAACTGCCTCTGCTTCAATCTCATTTTCAAAATAAACAACTAAAGCCCAAGATTGTGAAGCCATTAAAAAGATTACCTAAATAGACATCATTTTTTTTATTTATACATACACACACAGACGTGAAGTAGCCTGCTGCCGGGGGCTTCAGTACATACATCGACTGACAAATAGCCTGACTCGCAGTGGAGTGCTGCTACATCGACTGAGGGTTTGGTATGGGTCAGCAACCTTTTCATTCATTATTCTTTGTTTTCCCTCACCGTTTTCTAAAAACGCTTACTTAATTTAGGCTAGCAAAAAAAGTGAGCAATTGCGCATATAAGTATACTATAGCAGATATATATATATACATATTAGTGTAAAATGAAAAAAAACACCCACACAAACACACACCCACACACCCACACACACACATATCTATATATATATATCTATCTATCTATATATATATATATATATATATATATATATATATATATATATATATATATATATATATATATATATATATATATATAATATATATATATATATATATATATATATATATATATATATATATATATATATATATATATATATATATATATATATATATATATATATATTATACAGACAAATAAACACATAATATTTCTCTAAAAGTTAGTCTGTTAAATAAAAGACTAAATTAAGTCTGACTTATTATATTTTATTAGTTTTGATATTACTTTATAAATCTGAATATTATTAAAATAAAGTACTATTTCTAACTAAGAAACATCATATTTAAAAATATCATGTTTTTTAAATATGATTTTATTAAAGTGGTCAAGTTAAAATTAAATAAAAATATAGACAAAAATAAACTGAATAAATCGAATTTACTAAATTTATGTATATTATATACAATTTGATATAAAATCTAAAAGTTTTAAATCAGTTGATATAAAAATAGATTACAAAATACAATTTTATTAAAATATATTTATACCATATGCATGCATTCTATTTGGTTTTCCATGCCTTTCTATTACGGCAAATTATTTTTGTAATGTCTAGTTAATGAGACAATAATTGTCAATGTGCTACTTCCTCAACGTTGTTAAAACAACGCTTTATTAACGTTGGCAAAGTAACGTTTTTTTAATTACCGCGTTTATAAATGTAACGTTGAATAAACCTTGTTTTATAAATAGCATAAAAAGCAGCTTATATCTAACGTTGATAAACCTTAAACTTTGCGACGTTTTTATAGTGATTATTTGCGTACTTTTATTCAACGTTGAATAAACGCGATTTTTTGGGAAGATAAGATACGTTTAAAATTATTCGCTTATTTAACCTTGAAAATGTAACGTTTAAAAAAAGTTTTTTTTTTAACATTGATAAAGCATTATTTTTGAAACGTTGTTAAATTAGCTTTTTGCGTAAGTTGATTCGGCGTTGAATCAGCGTTTTATTTTACGAAGCTAAATTATATTACAATTTTAACGCTTATTCGACGTTTTAAATTACCGCGATTTAGTATTCAAAAACAGACATTGATTCAACGTTGAAAGCACATTGTTTTTGTGACTGTAACGCTTTTTCTACGCTGCGACCGGTTTTCAAAGTTGATTCAATGCTGACATGTTTGCTGGGCCCAGCTTGTTGTGGTTGTCCGTATTTTTTTGAACGAGGGATAAACTAGTTACAAGCAACCGTATATAATTCTAAAAATTTGTCATAACACTGATTGATATTTCTATTC